GCGGATCGGGCGGGCTGCGCGCTGGAAGGACAACCAAACGAACATGCTGAAATCTACGGCGAGACGCCTGGCCCACCCTCCCGACACGTCTCGGGGTGCGACAGGGAGGTGATACTCATAAAGAAGAGGAATAGAGTGGGAGGAGGGAGAGGGAGAAGGAGGAGAGCGCGCCAGGAGGAGGAAGGGAGGGACGAAGAAGGGCTGGATGATTTGGAGGAGGAAAGAAAGAGGATGGGATGTAGAAGGAGTGGAGGGGGAGGAAGAGGAGAAGGAGGAGGAAAAGGAGGGAGGGGAGCATGGGGAAGGGGAGGCGGAGGGGGGGCCCGAGAGGCGGCGGGGGGGGAATACGAGGGGGGCGTGGAGGAAAGAGGAGCAAGCGACATTTGACGCGGAAGAGGAGGAGACGGGGGAGCAGGAGCGATCGAACGAGAGCCTATCCCCGCCCTCCCCACTAAAACAGAAGAGTCACTGGATGGCACAGTTTGGTGCGCAGTCCCGCTTCCGACGAGACGGCGGGGAGAAGAAGCGCGGGCCGCGCACGGGAGGGAGCGAGCCTCGCGCAGCGCTGCGGCGAAAGAACCGTTTGGTCGTCCTCCTCCTCCTCCTTTTCCTCCTCCTCCTCCTCCTCCGTTTCCTCCTCATCATCCTCCTCCGTTTCCTCCTCCTCTTCCTCCTTCTCCTTTTCTTCCTCCTCCTCCTTTTCTTCCTCCTCCTCCTCCTCCTCCTCCTCTTCCGTCCGACGCGCGCTGCGAAGACGAAGCGCGCGCCGCGCCGAAACAGCTCTGGCGCGTGCGCGTGCAACCTGCGCGGCGCCTGGGCGCGGATAGCCTTTCGCCCATTCTCGCACTGCTTCGGTGCCAACGCCGCTTTCATGCGGTTTGGCGAGCGAAGCATGCGCCGCTCTCACGCGGAAATACCACTTCCAGGCGAAATCTGCACAGAGCTTACAAAAGGGTGGTCAGTCGCTTGTTCCCGCCCGGCCACGCCCCCAACGACTTGGCCAGTGACAGTGACCGCGCCGAGGCGGAAGTGCCGCGTTCAGGCGAAATCGGCGCGGCGCCGAGGCGACAGCGACATGTCGCCCTTTCGCGCGCGATACGCTCCCCGTCCCATTCTTGGCCACGCGTTTTGCAACGTCGATGACAAACGTCGATGTTGGAAGAATCGCGTAGATGTTGGATTGGCTGTTGATGGTCGGGGGCGGAAAAGAGGGGGGTGATGACTAGGGGGCGGTGGATATCATGGCGGGGGCCATGATATTTCCCCAGATTTCATGGCGCCCCTTCGTATTTCATTACGTCCCTGGCTCCCCCGCTGGGCCGCGCACATGCCGCCGGTCATGATTTGCACCCCCCCCTCTTGGACACCCCCCTCTTTGCCGCTCCCGAGATGCGTGGGAGCGTCCTGGCTGGGGTTGCCATCTGCCAGCTGGGCGGCCTACTAGGAGTATGCACGAGTAAGAAATAAGGATAGGGATGAGGATGAGCAGGACGAGGAGGATGAGGAAAGGGGACCGGAGTAGAGGGAGGAGGCGGATGCGAATGCGGATGGGGAAGAGGATGATCAGGAGCAGGAAAGGCAAAAGTACCAGGAGGCGAGGCAGGAGGAGCCGGGGCAGGGTGAAGGCGTATGGTGATGTGGAGGAGGAGGATGAGGAGAGCGAGAAGCAGGTGGAGAGAGGAGGCGAAGGAGGAGGAGGAGGAGAAGGAGATGAATGAGGAGGAGCGGATGACATGGAGGACGAGGACGAGGTCGAGAACAAGGAGCACGTAATTAGGAGGAGGTGGAGAGGGGGTGGTGAAGGAGGATGTGTGCGAGGAGATGCGGGGAGTTGAAGGGGGAATTGGCGGAGGAGGAGGAGGAGGAGGAGGAGGAACGGGGATCAGGAGGAAGGGCCGTCCACGACGCGGTCAGCGATGTTCCGTGTGTTTTGTGTGCGACACAGCACGAACGCGGCGTGACCCACATCCCTGCGACACACGTACTAGGCGGTATCGATGGATTTGTTAACGACCCCTCTCTCTCCATCGGGTTTTGTTCGATCGGTCCGATCGCACCAACTATCTGACCGATCTGCGACATTCCCCTAACTGTGCTTGAATCTACTGAGGGGGGCCTCACATGTGCTTGAGTCTACCCAGGTGGCTTTAGAGACCTTCAGAGTAACTGGTCTGCGGCTCCTGGCTTTTCACCAGATCTGCGCCTCGTGCGCGCCACGTCTGGGTTTCTCGCCCAGTCGCCGCCCGTGGTTGCCCAGTGGGGGCGCCCCCCGGCGCGCGCTGGCGGTGCCAGGTTTCTGCCCGCTCGCCGCCCGTGGGTCCCCTCGCGGGCGCCCCCGTGCGCTGCCTGGCGGTTTTGGGCGTCTCGTGGGCGTCACGTGCAGAGGTCGCACCGCGTAGGTCTGCCCGCGGCTTCCACCACACGGCCTGTACCACGCGCGCTGCGCCACATCGCCTGCGCCATCCAGCCTGCGCCGCGCAGAGATTGCACCACGCAGCTTCCCCCGCAGAGTGTGCACGACATAAGCTGCGCCACACGGCTTCCACCACCCAGCTTGCACCGCGCAGATTGCGCTGCATGACTTCCACAACATAGCTTGCATCACGTAGAGTGCGCCACGTAGCTTCCACCACATAGAATGCACTTCCAGAGAGCACAATCTCACCCGTTCGGGTCCACGCTGACAAACATTGTTCTTGCTATGATTACCGACGGTCAGCAATGGTCAGGCTTGCTGGGAGATTCGCGGGTACTCAGCGTTGAAGAAGCAGGCGGAGAAGCGACAACACAAAGATGCCGTCTCGCCAGTGCTATTGGAGGTGGCGGGGGCGCGCTTCAGGCTGGAGGCATATTTCAGCGGCCAGAAGAAGTCCCCAGAAGGCATGTTCGGGCTGTTCTGTGCTCGGGAGAAAGACGATTCGCCTGACGCGACCCCTGTCTTTGCGAGATTTGAGATCACCGTGGTTGCCAAGGGGGGATCGGACATGACCCTGGACGAGGCCAACTTGATCGAGTTCCTCCACGGTGGCTACGACAGAGGATGGGTGAGCTTCGGCAAGATTGACACACTTGAGAAGCCGCCCTTCCTTGTGGATGACACCCTGATCATTGGACTCCAAGTGAGCGACGTACCGTTGAAAGACACACTGTGCAACACGTGTTTAGGAACCACTTCGCATGACCCCCCTCAACCCCACAGCCTTCACACTGAACGGGTGGCCCCAGAAAGCAGGGCCATCAAACGTTTGGACCCGACATTTCGAGCCCAGCACCTTCCGATGGCAAGGCCGGGAGGGGAGGGGGGAATTTGTTTCTGTCGAATTCGGGCGTCGTTTCTGCGAAGTGATGCTTCCAGCCGCAGCGGGGGGGGGGGGGTACAGCCGGGAGCAGGAAGAACGGCTTGCCGAGGCGATCAAGCAAGTTGCTTGAAGCAAACTGCAGTTTCAAGCGTGCCTCAAGCAGCTTGCTTAAGCGCCCCAGCCAAGCCCCTCGGTTTCTGCACGCCAAGGGTGGACCTTAACGGTGTTTTGGCGAATTCGTGGGCCGTGTTTCGTTTCGGCTTCGTTTTGCGGTAGAGGCGGACGGAAGACAAAACGAGGGAAAACTAAAACAAAACGAAAACGAACAACACCGCTTAGGTTCAGCCCTGCTGTACCCCATGATAGTTCCTCGGATTTCATGGCGCTTCTTCTTATTTCATTACGTCCCTGCCCCCCCCCTGGGCCGCGCACACGCCGCCGGCCATGATTTGCGCCCCCCCTCTTGGACGTCCCCCTCGTGGCCGCCCCCAGTATAGTGTACTCGCCCTCCCCGGGGGGGCTGCTGCGCGGACGCACAGAAGCTGCCCGCGCGAGGCCCGCGCGCAGGCGCTCTCGCTGCCGCGCGGGTCGCGCCCCGCGGGAGGCCTGCGCAGGCCGCCGCGCACCGGGCCGCGGCGGCCTCCGGAGGCCCCGGAGGTGTCCGAGAGTTTCGGAGGGTCCTCCGGAGGGCCTCCCTCCTCCCTCCTCCCTCCTCCTCCTCCTCGTCCCTCCCTCCTCCTCCTCCCTCCTCCTCCTCCTGCCCCCGAGGCCCCCGAGGCCAACGCATTGAAAGAATCAAGACGGAGGTTTTTCGCAAATTTCGGCCCCCCTAGGGGCCCTCGCCGGGCCTCGGGACCGTCAACAAACGGCTCAGGATGGAAAGCCGGCCCTGGGGAATGGGTCGAGATTTCCGGGGACCGCGCATTGAAAAATCACGACATCGGATATCTGGGTCCGGAGGCTTTCGGCGAACACGAGGCCAGAGGCTCAGAGGAGGAGGAGGCACCGATGCTGCTGCCCTGCCCTCGTTGTCGCCTCGCTGGGGCCTCCTGGGCGGCCCCTCGTCACCGCCGCTGGAGATCCGCCTCGAAATCTTGGTCAAAGCGCACCCGGGGAGAGGTCCGGGGAGTGGCGGTATCTGTATACCTTGTGGTTTACCCAAAGTTTGTGCACATCCACCTCCTGGGGAACCTTTGCCTTTCCCTTGGCATCGCTCGGACGTGTGCATTTCTCCTTCGGCGAGGACCATCGAGGAGCATCCTTGATCATTTAGCGAAAAAACCGCGCACAAAACTGGAGAAAACACAGGAAATGGACGTCCGAGCGATGGCCAGTTCCTCGAGGAAAGGAAAACGGTTCAAGTGTAAACTGTCGACGGTCCGCGCGGATGTCTTGGATCTGCGCTGGGCCCCTCTCGCTGGCGCGCGGAGCGCGCCAGGGGCGTCGCCGGAGGCGCAGCGCAGATCCAAGAAATCTGCGCGGACCGTCGAACAAAAAAATGTTTCGGCCGTGCTTCCTTCCTATATTTCCGCCTTCGCCCAGGTGAGCGCTTTCAGCGCAAGCCAGAAGCGCGAGTGGACGCTCCCTCGAGCTCCAGGTTCCCACAGCGACGCTACGACCGCAGCAGGCGCTGCCCTCGTCGTCATCGTCGTCGTCATCGTCGTTGTCGTAATAGTCGTAGTCGTCGTCGCCGTCGCCGTCGTCAAGGATGCCCTATGCCCGAGGGTCGATATTGTGGACGCCTCCAGAGGATCCCCCAGCGGACAAACAATTCCACAAGAGGACTCCTCCGAAGCGGTCGCTGTCTGTTTGTTGACATCCGGGCGGCTTCACTTTCCCTTCGGGGGTGCTTCCGCTGGCCTCCGCGGGGACATCCTGGGGACGCCTCCGCGGAACCTGTGGTCGGGTACACGTGAGAGTGACCTTTCGCCAGGGTGACCTTTCGCCGGGGTGACCTTGGGTGTTGGCCCACTGGCGTCCCCCGATCGCCGAAAAAGATGCGGCAGCAGCGGTGTGCGCGCTTGTTTCCAGCCGGGGCCCCCGCGGCCCTCCCTGGAGCCGGGCGCCAGAGGTCGCTCCTGCCCAGTCCCCTCCTGCGTGTAGACGAGGGGGGCCTTGGCCCCTGCCGCAGAGGACCCCCCTCTGCTCCCGGACCCCCGACGTCACGATTTCTGCATGGCGCGACCCCGAGAAGTCTGGACCCCTTCGCCGGGACCGGCTTCTCCTCCCGAGGCGCTTTTTTCGGCGGTCCCGAGGCCCGGCAAGGCCCCCAAGAGGCCGAGCATGGCAGCACACCCTCCCGTCGCAATTTTGTTCGCGACCCGAGGGTGCCTGGGGAGGGCCCCTCTGCGCCGTGGCCGCGGCGGCGGCAGCAACAACAACGACGACGACGACGACGACGACGACGACGACGACGACGACCACTAGCACCACCACGACGACGACGACGACGACGACGACGACGACGACGACGACGACGACGACGGCGGCGGCGGCGGCGGCGGCGACGACTGGCGGAGCCCGGCAGGCGCCGCCCAGCGGAGGCGCACGGCGTTGGTGGAGGACCTGGCCGGGCTGCTGGCCGGGGGCCAGGGCGCGGACGTGGGGCTCCTTAGAGCGTCGCCGGCCCGGCTGCGAGGGGGAGCCAGACCCTTTCGCGTCGCAAGAAAAGCACAGGAGAAACACGACGGGCGGGTCGTCGCTATTTTCGGGCTCTGGGGGCCCTTCGCGGGCCTCGGGGCCATCAAAGAGCAGCTCAGGATGAAAAACCGGGCCGGGGCAATGGGTCGATAATGGAAAACCCGTACGTCGGGGGTCTGTTTGGGGGGGTAGGGCCAACGAAAAGGGGAGGACGAGGAGGCGGAAGAAGACGAGGAGGAGGAGGAGGACGAGGAGGAGGAGGAGGGAGGAGGAGGAGGAAGGAGGAGGAGGAGGAGGAGGAGGAGGGGGAGGAGAGGAGGAGGGGGAGGAGGAGGAGGAGGAGACGCCTCAGCGGAGTGGCCGCCCCAGGGCTCGACAAAGCACGAGGAGTAGGAGGATTCAAAAACTGCACAAACGTAAACTTTTGACGGTCTGCGCGGATTTCTTGGACCTGCGCTGGGCCCCCCTGGCGGCACCTCCGGCGCCGTTCTTGGCGCGCTCCGCGCGCCAGGGAGTGTCCAGCGGCGCAGGTCCAAGACATCCGCACGGACCGTCGAAAGATTGTGTTTGTGCCGTTATTCGTTTCTCCACAGGCTCACACCTCAATCCAAAGCACCTTTTCCGGCGCCAGACTAGAGCAAAACCACAGTAGGCTAAAGATGCATCAGCGATCCTGTAATACACCCTCCCGTCAAGTCCCCTCCCCATACGCCCCTACAGCTTCTTTTTCTTTCTCTCTGCAACAAGTGCCTCCCTTGAAAGACCCGCACAGATGGGCCTGCCGTTTAAGCGAGGGCCCCACTTTGAAAAGGAAATTGCCGTGTACCTTTCTGGTTCGGAATCAGGAAAGCGGAAAACTATGAGCATAGAGTTCAAAGAGGTGTTCAGTGAGATTACCTCCTCAAGGAAGGATCCCCCCATCCATGCAATTGTTGCACAAGTTTTCATTTGCGGCAATGAACTTCGAAGACGTCTCAAACGACAGCTCCAGTTTGAATAAGATCTGCCTTGGATCTGTGCTGCGCTGCATGGACTGAAACTCTGAGTCTTTCAATGAGCGCAGTCTCAAGCGAGGACCTTACAATGACAAAGAGCACCTGCGAACTACGAATAAAGCACGAATCCACGCTGCGCTGAGGCGAGAGCCCCATTTTCAACGCGACCAGTGCTCAACATCTTGAAACCGATGCAAGATGTTGGAATTAATGCTCGCTGCGCTAAATCGAGAGCCCCACTTCGAAAAAAACACCCTCTCTCTATGAAGCAGTACAATTTCGAAAACGAATATGCGCGGCGCTAAGGAGAGAACCACCGATCGAAAAGGAACAGCCGTTCATCCATGACACTGTTGCGAACGTTTGAGGCGAAAGCCCCATTTTGAAAACGCCCCCCTCCATCATGGAAATTGCTTGCAAGCTTTTGAGAAGAATGTGCGCGGCGCTGAGGCGAGAGCCACATTCTGACAGCGCCCCCTCTCCTTCTGTGAAACTGCTGCAAGTTTCAAGTGCCAGAATCGTAAGTGAGGAGAAGGAGAGGAGGAGGGGGAGGAAGGGGAGGAGGGGGAGGAGGAGGAGGAGGAGGAGCAGGAGGAGGAGGAGGAGGAGAAGGACGAGGGGGAGGACCAGCGTAAACCCAAGAGTCATCAACGATGTTGGAATATACCCTTCCTCCAGGCTCCCTCTTCACAGGCCCCTACAACGGTTTGTTTCCACTGAGGGATCTCCCTCGTTGGGAGACAACCGTTTGAAGAGCCTGAAGCGTGCCACAAAATTGTTCTCGGGACTCCAACGCCACGGATCAACCTGCGTCTTCACGGTCCTGAAACGCGCCGGAACGCCATCATTGGGACTTCAACACCGCGAATCAGAGTAATTGTCGCACCCTCATAATCCTGAATCTCTCCAAACATTACTTCTGGTACGTTGACCATGGGAACCCGTGAAACTCTTGCAGTACTTAAGAGACGAATGTGCGCGGCGTTGAGGCGAGAGCCACATATTGAAAACGATCCGCCCTGAATCCGTGAAACTCTTGCATTTGTGTTAAGCGACTGTGCGCGGCGCGCTATGGCGAGAGCCACATTAAAAACACAGCCCGCCCCAAACCCGTGAATATCTTGCAAGTTTTTATTACGAATGCGCGCGGCGCTAAGGCGAGAACCACATTTTGACAAAGACCCGCCCTCAATCTGTGAAGCTCGTGCAATTGTTTACACGACTCTGCGCGGCGCTATGGCGAGAGTCACATTCAAAATACGGCCCGCCCTCAACCCGTGAAACTCTAGCATAATTGTTAAACGATTGTGCGCCGCGCTAAAGCGAGAGCCACATTTTGAAAACAACCCATCCTCAATCCGTGAAACATGCAAGTGCTTGTATGCAATGTGCGCGGCGCTAAGGGGAGAGTCACATTTTGAAAACGACCCGCCCTCCATCTGTGAGACTGTTGCCAATGTTTCAGCTTCAGGGTCATAAGTGATGAGGAAGACTATGGCGAAACGCCCGGCCCGCCTTTCGACCAGCCTCGGGGTGCGACAGGAAAAGTGATTTACAAGGTAAGGGAATGGAGGAGGAGGAGGAGGAGGAGGAGGAGGAGGACAGGGAAAAATCAGTTATGAGGAAAAGGAATGGAGGAGGAGGAGGAGGAGGAGGAGGAGGAGGGAGAGGGAGAGGGAAGAGGAGAAGGAGGGAGAGGAGGAGGAGGAAGAGGAGGAGGAGGAGGAGGAGGAGGAGGGGGAGGAGGAGGGAGGCCAGGGAGGCCAGGGAGGCCTGGCCTGGCCCCGGACGGGGAGGTGGAGCAGCAGCAGCCGAGGAGCAGCGGCGGGCGAGGAGCGGCGCGTGGCACCGCGGGCCTGGCCCCCGCCGGTCCAGGAGGGGCAACGGCAGCCGCACGCCGCGCTCGGCCCGCTCGCGTGCCGGCGGCGTGGTCGTCGTTGCTGTCGTCGTTGTCGACGTCGTCGTCGTCGACCTCATCGTCGGCGTCGACGTCGGCTTCGTCGTCGTCGTTCCGGATCGTCGTCGTTCGTGGTCATCGTCGTGTTCGTCGCCGTCGTTGTCGTCGTCGTCGTGTTCGTCATCGTCGGTTTGTTCGTCGTCGTCGTCAGTCGCGATCGTCGTCGTCGTTCGTCGTCGTTCTTTCGTCGTCGTTTTTCGTCGTTGTTGTCGTCGTCCTTCATTGTTCGTCGTTCGTCGTGCGTCATCCGTCGTCTTTTGTCGTTCGTCGTTCGTCGTCGTCGTCGCCTGTTATGGTGGTTTGTCGTTCGTCGTCGCTCTCCCCAAGTTCTGTGTCAGTCTCCTCCGCCTCCTCCTCTCATGGTGGTGCTCCTTTGTGGCGCGTCGCTTTTCGTCGGCATGCCCACCCCGCGTTCCTTCTGCCTCCTGCCCTCTCTCAACCCGCCTCTTCACCTTTCCCTCCCTCCTCCAACCTGCCTTCGAGCCGTCCTGGCGACCTTCCCAGTCATGCTCCTCCACTCAGTCTTCCCCTGCTACTTTTTCCTCGCCGCCTTATTCGCGATGTTCCTCATCTGCATGTTTCCCCTCATCCTTATGCTGATTGTCCTCCTCTTCCTCCTCCCCCTCCCCGCGTCCGAAGGGCCTGAGCGTCGTGGTCCCGCAGCTGCTGCCTCGCCGAGTGTGCCCTCGGGCGGTGTCGTTCGGGGCGTAGCTGCATGGAACCCCAGCCAGCTGAAGGTCTGCCCCCCCAGGAGAGAGAGGGGCAGGACACGTCACCGCCCCTGGAAGTGATCGGTCGGGATCATTCAGGTTCCCGGAGAGCCTTCCGGGAACCTGGAATCGGAGCGTCCTCCGAAAGGTTTGCCCCCCTTGGAGAGGGAGGGGCAGGACACGGCACCGCCCGTGTAAGTGCTTGGTCACGGGGGTCCCAGGGTCGTCGGTGTTGGCGTCAATTTCCACCGATGATGTCGGCGTCCGTGATCGGTGCCGCGTGGACGGCTTCTCATTGAACCCTTGTGGTTGAATCCCCATGGACATTCTCATCCTCACCCTCCCTCCCCCTTATTCGGGGTGGGCACGATGCCGATCACTACGAGAGGTGGAGATCAGCAGCGGCTTGGGTGAGGACGTCAGGCAGGTGCTGAAGGCGACGGTGGGAGCGAAGTGCGCCCGACTGCCTACCCCACCTTCCCAAAAGCGGAGTGAGAAGCAGGGGCGAGCGGGAGAGGACAAGGAGAAAAGATGAAGTGGGGAGGATGGCCGGAGAGAAGGAAAGAGGAGGAGGGGGGAGAGAAGAGGAGAGCGATGCGAGGGAAGTTAAGGGAGGAGGAGGAGGAGGAGGAGGAGGAGGAGGAGGGAGAACAGAGGAGGGAAAGGATGGAGGGAGCATGAAGAAGAAAAGAGGAGGAAGGAGGAGGAAGTAAGGGATTAGGCAGGAGGGAAAGGGGAGGAGGGAAGAGGAAGGGAAGGTGGAAGGAATGGAAGGTGGAAGGAAGAATCAGGAAGGAGGAGCAAGGGCAAGGTGGGAGAGGACGGAGGAGCGACGAAGCAGGAGACAAGGAAGACGATGAGGAGGACGCAGAGAGGAGAGGAAGGAGGGAAGATGGAGGAAGGTGATAGCATGAACGAGGAAGGAGGAAGGAGGGGAAGGTGGGAGAGGAGGGAGGACCGACGAAGCAGGAGGCAATGATGAAGAGGATGAGGAGGAGGAGGAGGAGGCAACGAGAATGAGGAGGGGGGAATGATAAAGAAGAGTGACGCGGAGTGGGAGGATGAAGCCAGGAGGCTTTGGGGAGCAACACACCGTACACGTTCTCTTGCCCTGCAGAGGCCCACCGTGTGGTGTTGGCAGCGCGCTCCCCGGTCTTCAACCGCATGTTGTTGCAGTCTGGCATGCGCGAGTCCCAGGTTGGCGCTCAGATCTCGTTGGACGGGGTCGATCATTCAATTGCGGAACAGTTCGTCCGTTTTTTGTACACGGAGGAGTTGGACCCGAAGATCTTCGAAAGCCCTGACGCCGTGTGTCATTTGCTCGCCCTGGGCCATCGCTACGAGGTTCGCTCGCTCTTTCAGATATGTTCCGATCGTCTGACAATTACCGTCGACACAGCGATTGAGCAGCTTGTGATGGCAGAGCAGTTCAGCATGACCGCGCTGAAGGAGCAGGAGGAGGGAGAGAAGGATCATGAGGGAAGAGACGGACGAGGAAGAGGAGAAGGAGGAAAAGGAGGAGGAGGAGGACAACAAAGACGAGGAACAGGAAGAGGGTGAAAGGGAGGAGGAGGAGGAGGAGGAGGAAAAGGGGGGGGAGGCGGCGGAGGACAATGAGGAGGAGGAGGAGGAGGAGGAGGAGGAGGAGGAGGAGGAGGAGGAGGAGGAGGGGGGAGGGAGTAGGAGGAGGAGGAGGAGGAGAAGGAGGAGGATGGGAGGAGGACAACGAACACGAAGAAGAGGGTGAAAAGGAGCAGGAGGGGGAGGAGGATTAGTTACGCGGCGGAGGACAACGAGGGGAAGAGGAGCACTAGCAGCAGGAGGCTCACGAGGACAAAGATGGTAGCTGGAGGAGGAGGGGGAGGATGGGGAGGAGGTGGAGGGAGGGAGGGAGGCGCGAGAGCGGCATGATGGCGAGGAGGGGAGGGAGGGGGGAGCAGCAGCAGCACTGAGGGATGGGAGAGGGATGCTGAAGGTGATCGTGAGGCGGAGCGCCAATGGAGAATGAGAAGGCAGAGGAGGAGGGGGAGGAGGAGGAGGAGGAGGAGGAGGAAGAGGAGGAGGAAAAGGATTGGAAGGAAGATGAGGAAGATGGGGATCATAGAGAGGAGGAGGAGGAGGAGGAGGAGGAGGAGGAGGAGGAGGAGGAGGAGGACTTGAAGTAATATGGCTTAGGGGCGCCTTAACCCCGTTAGTGGGCCCAGTTGCCTGGAGTTACCACCCTTTTGGGGCGGATACCGCCACTTGCAGTGCAGAAACGCTGCACACATTCCATTGTATTGAAGGTGGGCAGGGTTTGTCCATCCCTCTGCCGCCCTGTGCAATGAGAACTCTTGTCCTGTTCCACCGCTGGGTGGCTCGCCACCCTACAGGTGCTGGGAGTGCCTTGCGCCACAGACGGACGGATCGTCACCGTTGGGCGACCTTGGAGACCTTCTCCGCTGCAGGACGTCTCCCCGCCTAATGTGGACAAGGTGGGGCGGGCCCAGTAGCACATGTAAGCCGCAATCTGGGGTGTATCGCACACATCCCTCTGCCACCGCCCCATTCAAGAGGGAGGTAATCGAGAAACGGGCGGATGGGCGAGCAAGTGAGGGTGGGCGGGAGAGCAACAGGGCGAGCACAGGCGCAAGGCATCAGAGCAATAGGGCGAGCATAGGCGCAAGGCCTCAGGGGGTAAACATAACGCCCAAGGAGAGCGGGACGGTCGGTACGTCACGTTAAGAGTGGCAGGGAGGTCAGCTCTGCGGCAGAGTGGATTGTTACCGAAGGGGTGACAAGGTGGGCCTGCTCCATTGCAAGGCGGATCTCCGCCCAATGATGGCAGGGGGATCGGTGGCGGCAGAAAGCCGCACACGGGAGGCTCTGCAACCGTACCCCCTCCATTGGAGGGCAATAGGACGAACCCTGATTTTATCACCAGGGTGACTTCATTATAAATGTATCTTAGATGACCGGGGTATGAAAGCTTCACCCTATGCGTGTTAAGGAGAGGATTGCAAGCGCTGTGGGAGGGGAGGCTTGGGGGCGTCCTCAAAATAGTCACGTGGAGCCCCCAGAAAGCCCGACACGGCTCAGGAGAGCCCCCAAAGCTGGGAGTGAATCAGGAGCGGTGCTCTCTCCGACGGAATGGCTTGACCCAGCGTGGGATGAGACCCAACGATCTCCAGGGGGCCCGACAACGCCACACGAGAGCTGGAAGTAGCCTGGTGCTGCTCAGGAATTTTTGCTCCTCCTACGTGTGTGGGGCAACTCGGGGAACCACCAACTGCTCACGCGTGTGTGTGTGGTGATAATGTGTGCCGGACCGCCGACAAGGGCTGTGTCCTGGAGGTTGACCCCTCTTGTGGGGCCGACTTGGGAGCGCACGGAATTCGAGTGCTCGCCTGTGGTAGGCGTGCAAGACCGCCGGCTCTGCCGCCGGGCTGCGTCCTGGAGGTCAAAACCTCCTGGGGGGGGGATGGTGGGGGGGCCAAGGGAAGGTACCAGACGAGAGGGAGGAGGAGGGAGGCGGGGGGAGGAAGAGGAGCTATGAGGGGGGGGCGAGTGGGGGGGGCCAGGGCGGGGTAGGAAGTGAGGCAACTAGGGGATTGGGGATTGTATGCAGGACGGCCAGCATTGCCGCCAGGCTGTGCCCTGGAGGTTGAACCCCCTTGTGGGGGCCTGACTTTCCTTACGAGCCTGTGGCAGTCATGCAAGGCATGCAGGTCCGTCGGCTTGTCGCTGGGCTGGTTATGTCCGGCAGGTCAAGACCTCTTGAGGGGGGCGGCCCACCAGACCATGGTCCGTTTGGCAGGGTGCCTCGCCACAGCAGATGTGAGCGGCAGCCACAGCATCAGCCGCGCCAGGTCTGACCATGGAGGGACCTAGCGTGCTGGCTCGCTGTGGCACGAGATGGGGATCAGGGTGTCTCAGGAAAAGCTCTGGAGGCATGCAACCTCCGGCACAGCAGCTGAAACGGACAACGGGGGGACCGACGGGGCCGATGGGCCGGAGGGGGCCCGGGAGGTACCAAGCGAGTGGGGGTAGGGGGGGGGAGGGCGAGGGAACCCAACAGAAGGGGAAAACAGGGTGGACTGGCCAGGGGAGAAGGGAAGGGGGAGAGGGGGAAAAAACGAGGGGGAGGAGGAGGTGGGAGGGGGAGGAGGGACACAAGCACATTAGGGGGGGGGGGGGGGGGCCCGAACGGGGGGGAAGCCTCGGAGGGAAGGGTGGAGCAGGCTGTGGGGCAATGGGGAGGCCGCCAGCTGCTCGCACGAGCGCGTGGTGAACGTGAGCAGGACCACCGGCCTTGCCGCCGGGCTTTGTCCTGGAGGTCGAAACCTCTTGTGGGGGCAAATTGGGATCGCTCCGAGTCTTTGTGCCTGACTGTTGTAGGCGTGCAGCACCGCCGGCCTTGTCGCCGGGCTGTGTCCTGGAGGTTAAGAACCTCTTGGGGGGCGAGTGACTGACTTTCCTTACGAGCCTGTGGCAGGCACCCAAGGCGTGCAGGAACGCCGGCATTGTCGCCGGGCTGTGTCCTGGAGGTCAAGACCTCTTGAGGGGGGCGGCCAAACGGACCATGGTCCGCTTGGCGGGGTGCCCCGCCACGGCAGATGTGAGCGGCAGCCACAGTAGCAGCAGCAGCAGCAGCAGCAGCAGCAGCAGCAGCAGCAGCAGCAGCAGCAGCAGCAGCAGCCGCGCCAGGTCTGACCATGGAAGGACCTAGTGTGCTGGCTCGCTGTGGCACGAGACGGGTAACAGGGTGTCTCAGGAAAAGCCCTGGAGGCAGACAAACTCCGGCTCAGCTGCTGAAGCGGACAACGGGGGAACCGACGAGGTAGATGGGCCGGGGTGGGGCCTGGGAGGAACCAAGGGAGTGGGGGAGGGGGAAGGGAGGGCGTGGGAACCACAAAAAACGAGGGAGAGGGGGCGAGGGGGGGGGACGCTACAATAGGGGTGACAGGGGGGCCTACCAAACATGGCGGTGACAGGGGGGGCCTGCTCCCGGCCCAGAATGCGAGCCTGCGATCCTTAGTATAGCATCTCTGTGGATGCCCCTGAGAAGGAGGAGGGCCCCTGAAAGAAACATCAGCCTGGCTGATCCCGCAGCTTTTCCCGCAAATGGGTGGGCGATTGTTGCTGCATGCTGAAGCCCTGACAGTGACGCAAGGCTGTGGTGCCCCTGGCGGGGGGCATGCAACTGCAATGCATGCTGAGCAACGACCGACTGCTGAAATCTGACCACCAAACATCCAACAGCAGATGCAGAATGGGAAGGCTCTCCTCCTCACCGCCCTCGGGAAGGTAAAGCTGCTAAAGGGGTGGCCTGCGTGCCCCAAATAGCCCTTCTGGCTGTGGCCGGTGGCTGGTTTCGCCCACCTTTGGGAGGGCCATGCCTGGCCTGCCTGAGGTCGAGAGGGGTTCCCCGACTCTCTGATGCGTGACGACCTGCCAGCGCAGCGTGGCGGGTCGCAGCTGCGAGAGTGGGATCTGACCTGAGGTAGGCGTGCAGGTCCGCCGGCATTGTCGCCGGGCTGTGTCCTGGAGGTCAAAACCTCATGGTGGGCGAGTGGAGGAGGGCCTCGTGAATGTACCGATCGAGGGGGAGAAGCGGGGAGAGGTGGTAGAAGGGGCGCAATGTCCTGGAGGTCAAAACCTCTAGAGAGGAGTGAGGGTGGTAAACCTCGGGAAAGCAAAGTGGGGTGGGAAGTGGGGGCAACTGGGGGGACCAGAAACTGCTCGCGCGAGCGTGTGGTATTTGTGTGCAGGACCGCCGGCATTGCCGCTGGGCTGTGTCTTGGAGGTTGACACCTCTGGGATCGCTCCGAGCTTTTGGGCCTGCCTGTGGTTGGCGTGCAGGACCGCCAGCATTGTCGCAGGGCTGTGTCCTGGAGGTTAAAACCTTTTGGGGGAAAGTAGAGGGGCCGGGGGGGAACCAAGCGATGGGGAGGAAACACGCAAGGGGGTGGGGAACAGAGGAAGGGGAGGAGGACCACCACAACAAGGGTGACAGGGGAACTAGCCAACCAACGGGGTGACAAGAAGGCCCTGCTCCCTGCCAAGCTCGCGATCTTGGGAGGACACGTTACGGGCCCATTCGATCGGTAGCAGTTTTCCAGCCACCCATCCCCTCGGAACCGGGAGGGGTCAATGAACTGGCCCAGGGGCCCCTCTTATGTAGGCAGATTGGGAGCGCACCCAATGCACGTGCATGCCGGCGGTAGGCTTGCAGGACCGCTGGCATTGTCGCCGGGCTGTGTCCTGGAGGTTGAGACCTCTTGTGGGGGTAATTTGGGGGCGCACCGAATTAACGTGCGTGCCTGTGGAAGGCGTGCAGGACCGCCGGCATTGTCGCCGGAGGAGGAGAAGAAAGGGGGGAAGTGTCGGATGGGGAGGAGGGCGAGGAGCAGCAGCAGGTGGAGGAGGGAGGAGCAGCAGCGGCAAGAGGGAAAGGATAAGTCATGAGAGGGGGTGGACGACGACGACACGGAGCTACAGGAAGAGAAGGACGAGCACGAGGAGGAGGAGGAGGAGGAGGAGCTGGAGTCTGACGATCGTGAGGAGAAGAACGCGAAAGGGGATGAGGAGGAGGAGGAGGAGGAGGAGGAGGAGGAAGCGGAGGAGGAGGAGGAGGAGGAGGAGGAGGAGAAGGAAGAGGAGGAGGACGACGACGACGAGGGAGGGGTTGCGGAATAGTTGGAGGGAGGCAGGGAAGGAGCAGGACGAGGAGCAGGGTCAGAAGCAGGAGCTGGAGGAGGTGCACGATCTAGCTCAATCTTGAGCACGAGAGCTAGCTCCAGCACGAGCATTCACAGCAGCAGGAGCACCAGCAGGAGCAGGGGGTCGGCGGAGAGCTTGGAGGGGGAAGGGGGATGAAGGGAAGGGGGGGGAGAAGGAGCAGGGGGAAGAGGATCAGGATCGGGGAAACGTAAGACTCGAGTAAGCCGGAATTCGGGTTTGCCGATTTTTTTGACGAGCGCGTCCTGGATTTTGACGGTCCCGTTTTCGTGGGATGTTTGCAGCGGGAGCCCGCGTCAAGTTTCAGATTAAGTCTCGTCATTTTTATGATGGCCCCCGTCAGGCCAACCCGAGTCCCCCGTACCCGAGTCTTACGTCTCCCCGAGAGGAGGACGACGAGGAGCAGGAGCAGGAGCAGGAGGAGGAGCAGCAGCAGCAGTCCAGCACGCCTGGGCTGCAGGAGCAGGTCATGGAGTTCATCTGCAGCTGCCGCAAGCGGCTGGCGCAGGTTCTGCGGCCGCCGGGCCTCCCGAGGGGGGAGGGGGGGGGGGCGGAGTCATTCCCAGGATATCAGGCTCAATCCTCTTTGGGAACGAGGTTCAAATCCCCAGAAGCGCCCTGCACAGCAAGCAGCATGCACGCCGCGGCAGGGCTTCGTCTCGGTTCGCAGGCTCGTCGGCAGTGGCAGCGGTAGCCTGTAGGCCAGGTTGGCACCGAGTCGAGAACCTGGGACGGCGTTGCTCGACGCCGAAGCCACCCTGGATCTCCCTTGTTCTCGTCAGTGGCCATTGTGCATCGGTGTTTCTGAGCCTCGACCATCGTCCCTGGGAAAAAAGTTTCGGGGCATTTCAACATTCCCCGCGATCACCAGTTCGCCAGTGCGGGGTTGTGGTAGAATGTGTTGGGCCGCGTCAGGGTCGGAGGCCGCCGAGAGAGCGCCCTCCCCAGTCTCTCTCGAGCTGCACGGGAGGTGCCCTCTCGGTGGGGCCTCGCGCGGGGGACCCCCGATCGCCCGCGCGGGACTCGCGGAGCCTGCCTCGGGGCCTCGAGGCCGCCGCGCAGCAGCAGCGCGGGCTGTCGAGCTCGAGCGCCGGCTCCCGGTGCGCGCCCCGCTGGGCGCGGCAGCACTCCGCTGCGCAGTGCCCTGAGCGGCGCGAGCCCGCCGTCTTTCCCGGGCCGACTGGGCGGCCAGCGGACAGCGCGGGGGTCAGGGCCAGTCCGCTTCGCGACCCCCGGCCTCGGCCTACCAACTCCTCCTCCTTGGCATCGCTCGGACGGGTGCGTTTTTTCCTCGGCGAGGGCCATCGAGGAGCATCAGTGATCATTTGGCGAAAAAAACACGCACGAAGCCAAAAAAAGCACAGGGAATGGACGTCCGAGCGATGGCCAGCCTCGTCCTCTCCCGAGGACGCGCCCGTGTTGTCGCGCAAGAAGCCGTGCTCCTCATCGCCGCAGGCCGGAAGTGCAGCGAGCATTCCGGCAGGCCTTCTTTCTGCAGCCGCCAATTCGGATTAGTTAATTCTTTTTCGCACAGGACCGACTCCCCAGGACAGTGCAGAGCCGGGGTGAAACCGCCCTGTTCGCCTAGAGTCTAGAGCGATGGGCCGAGCTTCGTGCTGAGCACCAGAGGAGGCGGAGGAGGAGGAGGAGGAGGAGGAGAAGGAGAAGGAGGTCGACTAGTGTAAACGCAATACGTATCAACGATGTTGCAATCGACCCTCTCTGCAAGCTCCCTCTTCACGGGTCCTTACAAGACTTTGCGATCATTGCGAAAGTTTCCCATTGAGAGAAAGCGGTCTGAGAATCCTCAATCACACCACAAACATAGTTCTTGGGACTTCAGCGTCGCGAATCAACGTGGTCCAATCCCAAGACGTCCTAGAACACCATTCATGGGACGTCTCCACCGCGAGTCAAAGTCACTGTTGCGTCCTGCCTATCCTAAGCCGTGCCAGAACACGTTTCCCAGGATTTCAACATGCGAATCCGCGAATTGTTGGAAACATTCAGGACGAATGTGCGTGGCGCTACGGCGAGAGCCACAGTTCGAAAAGGAACCACCCCCCTTCGTGAAACTGTCTGAATTTTAAAGCGAGTTTGCGCGGGCGAGAGACACATTTTGAAAACAGCCCGCCTTCCATCCGCGAAATTGTCGCAAACCTCGAGCTTCTTTATTTCTTTCTTTTTTCTTTCGGGCGATTTCACAGCCCCTGGTCACTTTCCCACGTGGTGCTGCGTGACTCTACTTCGGCTGCCGCTCTCTCACTGTGCACTAGCTGCCGCCTTTCTTGCCTCTGCCAGCGTCTCTTCCCATCGGGGTTGGGGTCTGCCCCGGACTCGCCGGGTCGCCAACCGCGACTCTTGGCCGTGCGATGCGATCAGGCGTTGCCAGCGCAGCCTCTCCGCGCCGCGATGGCCGAGCACCCGCGGCGTCCAAGCCTGCGGGTCGTGGCCGCGGCTAATGCGGGACTCCCACGACACTTGCGCCTTTGCCCACGCCTGACTCCAGCGCCTGGTCCTGGCGGCCAGGGACGAGGTGATCGCGCGGCGTCGTAGCACAGAAGCGGCCCAATCCTCGTTCGGCGCTGGCTGGATGTCGAAGGTGATGGCCAGGAGCCGGCGTTGCAGGCGGTCGAGGTTGCTGGCGTGCGTCTTCTGGTACGGCCAGCGCGAGAAGCGGTACTTGGCGATGCTCGACACGCCGCTGGTCAGGAGACGAAGCTTCGCACCCTCGCCTGCTCGACGCAGCGCTTGGTCCAGCTTGCCGAAAAGCGCTCGGAACATCGCCGCCGTGGCCGCCGCGCAGCACGAGGTGATGCCCCCATTGTGGTCGATAATGTGGCCCAGCGTCTTCATGGATTCCTTCTTGTCCCAGCTGTGCTGCGAGACCACGTTGTCGCGGCCGCCCTTGCAAATGAGATGTTCCCGGGAGTCGTCCCCGATCTGCACGTTCCATCGCTTGCTGAGCTGCTCCGCGCAATCGTCCTGAATGCGGATGGCAGCTGCTGGGTCCTTGGAAGCCGCAAGGAGGTTGTCCACGAAAGAAGCCAGGCCTGTGCCTTCGAAGCCGAGCGTCTGCCAGAAATGCATCCGCTGCGACGCCACGTCCAACAGCGGGATGCGCCCAGCTGCTCCAGCGCTCCGGGAGCCTGTGTGCATGCCCACGGTGCGGGCGTTCAGCGCTGCGAAAGCAGGCCCCACCTTCAGCACGACGAGCGGGCACGTATGCAGCTGCACCAGGGTGGCGGCCTCGTCAGACCAGCCAGTCTCGTCCCTGAGCCACTTGGCAACACGTATCGCTCGCAGGGCATCGTAATACTTCCGCACGTCCTGCTGGCAGGCGCAGCCCTGGAACTCATTGTCCATGCCTTTCTCGATGACGAGCGCCAGCGGGTGGACGGCATCTAAAGTCTGGCGCCTGCTCTTGGCGCACTCAAGGTATGGCGATATCGACGCTGCCGGCAGGACTCGGGCCGCGCATCTGTCAACGATGTCGTTCATTCGCTTTGCCAAGATATCGTCGACAACAGCCAAAACCACGGGCAAGGGAAGTATGTTTCGGACTTTGGTGGGTGGGACAGCCCTGGGCAATTTGCGCTCGCCCTACCCAGAATAACGAGACTACCCGGCTCATCCTGGCTGCTCGCGAGGTCGAGGAATGCCCTGTGCACGGCGTCTGGCCAGGCCTCGTGGAGGAGTCGGAGGGCCGCGACCGTGATGCCATTTTTGTCCATGACCGCCGCATGGCGGAGGCCAGCGAGCGCACCAGAGAGCTCCCTCTTGGGGAAGGCCATGCCTGCGTTTCCGCGCGACCGCAGGAAATCGCTGCACGCTCAGGAGGTGCGGATTGCCGCACCGCCATAAGCCGCGGGACTCGGCCTCGAACGGGGAGGCCCATTCCTGGTGGTCGACGGTCTCGCTGCCGTCTGGCGCCTGCATGGCCCGGAGTGGCAACAGCTTCTTGGCCTCCCAATTCACCTTGCCTTCATTCAACCTCAAGCTTCAGGATCAAAAGTGGTGAGGAAGTCTCAGGCGAAACGTCTGGCCCGCCGTATCAACACGGGGTGCGACAGGGAGGAGTTATTTACAAGGAAGTGGGATGGAGGAGGAGGCGGAGGAGGAGGAGGAGGAGGAGCGAGCAGCGAGCAGTGAGCAGCGAGCAGCGAGCAGCGAGCAGCGAGGAGACGCAGATTCGATGCATATCCCGCGATCGGGCGACGCCTGCGGTCGATCGCCACGCCCCCCAGCGGCTCCGGGAGCGTTGGGACCTGGGGCGAGAAATCATGCGCCGAGCCCCGTAAGCGGCTCGCCGGCACCACCTCAAAACGATTTCTGAAGGGGTGAATCACATTTGGCCAAGTGACTGTTGCCGACACGTTCTGGAGCTGTGTGTTTCGGGCTCGCCCGTCTCGCCTGCATCTCCGATCATTCAAGGCACCCTCTGGCTTACTCACCTCGTTTGTCGTCCCCAGGATGCCGTTCCGTCAGGCCTCATCCTTCGTATCGGCTTAGCTTGGGCCTCGCAATACAATACATTGCGTTTGGTTTCACGCGAGAATGCACGATGTTGGCCACGGCTTACAGCTACAAAACCACCTAATGAGCACGGCGTCGAGTGCCATATACGTCGAACTCATTGGTATTGGCGTTGTCCTTCCTCATCTTCTTCCTTTCCGCCTCCTCCGTTCCACCTCCTCCTTCTCCTCCCTCACCCTCCTTTGCCGCTACCTTGTCTCCCCTGCCCCTCCTCGAGGAGCAGTAACGAGGAGGAGGAGGAGGAGGAGGAGGAGGAGGAGGAGGAGGAGCAGTGACGAGGAGGAGGAGGAGGAGGAGCAGGAGGAGAAGGAGGAGGAGCAGTAGCATTTGCGGTTCGGGCCGTGCGCCCCCTCTCTCAGTTGCTGATGCGCCTCCCCCCCAGCAGCTTCACTGCCGTGGTTGGGTCGAGCGGCCGCTCCTCCTCGTCCATCCTCCTCGTCCTCCTCATCCCTCGACCTCGTCCTATCCTCGTCCATCCTCCTCGTCCTCCTCCTTCCTCGTCCTCCTCGTCCTCCTCCGCATTCCTCCTCTCCTCTCCGCGTCGGAGTTCCTCCCCTCCTCATGCTTCCTCCTCCTATCCTCGTCCATCCTTTTCGTCCTCCTCGTTCATCATCCTCGTCCTCCTCGTCCGAGTTTGCTCAATATGAGTACTCTACTCTCCCCTCTCCCTCGACCGTGTCCTGGAGGTGCCCCGCTCTCTCCGTGCAATGATCTATGGTGTTACGCTCAGGACGTCATGCTCTGCAGAACGGCTTTCAGTCAACCCGCACGGCAATGATGCAAGGTTGCCCTTGCATCCTTACCAAGGTACCCACACCTCTACCCTTTCCTCGTTTCCCCCTTTTTAGGGGTCTCCTCGGAGGCCCTCGTCGCCACCGCTGGATTCGCCTCGAAAAAAAATTAGAACCAGAACGCACCAAGGAAGAGGCCCAAGGAATAGCGGTATCGGTACCTTTTGGCTTCCCCAAGGTTACCTTTGCATCCTTCCCTTTCGGCCCGTCTTTGGCCGCTGTCGCTTGCCGCGCCCCGCCCGCAGAGTGTCGGCATGGCCTTCCAAGGCCATTGCATCCTTACTGTGCATCCTTATTATACGGGTTGACTTCAGGTGTGTCAAAGTCGTGATCCCGCTGCAGCGCGGGCCTCCTTGTAGGATTATCGGCTTGCTCCCGTCTTGCAGAATGGGCGCTCTCGCCCCAGCTCGGGCCGTTTTTTTCGAATCAGACTCGCTCCCAGTCGTTGTCGCTCCGCTGATTTCCCCTCACCCATCTTCCCCTGCGTCTGCTATTGTTCCTCCTCGTCCTCCTCCTTCCTCGTCCTGCTCCTCTTCCTCCCGCTCATCCGCCACTTAAATCTAATTGACGCTGCTCTGATTGCGCACAGTGCGATGGTTACCTTTCGGGGTCTGCAGGTCCGCTGACACCCTTTCTAGCGGATAGGGAACCAATCAGCGCAACGGGAAGGCATTGGTGGGAGGGGGTGGAGTGCAGCTACGGCGCGAGCGCACACACAATTGGGAACCTTGGGATGGCGTGTCGCGCCGCCGGTTCTGGCCCAATCACGCCTCGGCGCGATACGCTGTCCATTTCGCGGTCCCGAGGCGTCAACGTCCCGAGCTGTCCCGAGCCGCCCGCCCCGCGGAGCGGAGCGACACGCTATCCTCTCGCGAGGCATAGCGTGTTGCCGGGGCTGCCGCAGCGACACGCTATCCAAAAGTTCCCGACCGCAGCTTGTCCTCCCCCGCTCCCCTCTCCCGCCTCTCCCCTCCTCCCGCGCAGGTGCAAAGAACTGCAGCGTTCGAGCGGATGAGCAAAGGCTACCCACAGTTGATGGTGGAGCTGTTCGCACACGCCACGCAGCCGCCGGAGAAGAAGCCGCGGGCGTCCGCTGCGCCCCCGAGCGACGAATGTCAAGTAGGTGGTGTAAGGGCGCGAATCTAGGCGATGTGAACGGCGGAAAGCACGGTTCGATTGCGCCGACATTCGTGCAGAAGTTGCCCGCGTAAGGTTGCGCGTGAGCGCCTTCGTTTCAGATAGCGGTCCGCGCTGGCGGCCCGCGCAAGCCACCGTGCAAAGTCGCTATGTCATCTCGCGTAGGACCCGTGACTTTTCGTCGTCCATAATGTGGCGGCTAGGCGCCGTCGTGTCACTGAGCGGTTGGTACAGCCTGGGAAGCGTGCAGATTTCAACCATTGCGGGAGGTGGAAGGACGCGGATGTAGGCGATGTGGCGGCTGGGCGCCGTCGTGCCACTGCGGTCGTTGCGGTCTGAGGGGCGTGCAGACCCAACCACTGTTGGCGATGGGAGGGCGCGAGTAGAGCACCTTTTGTGCGTCGATCTTCCGCGCACCGGCGAGGAGAATCGAGGGATCGAGGAGAACATACATAGCACCCCAGAGTTGCGGATAAGAGTGAGGGGGCGGGCGCGGGGTGGGTCGCGGGTGGGTCGCAGGCGAGTCGCGAGTGGAACGCGGGGTGGGTCGCAGGTGGGTTGCGGGTGGGTCGCGGGCGGGTTGCGGGTAGGTCGCGGCCGGGTCTCGGGTGGGTCGCGGGCCGGGTCGCGGATGGGTCGCGGGTGGGTCGTGGATGGGTCGCGGGTGGGTTGCGGGTGGGTTGCGGTCAGGTCGCGGGCCGGGTCGTGAGTGGGACGACGACATCAACAAACAACAGCCATAAGAACAACAACAACCACGACGACGACAACGACGACAGCAACAACAGCAGCAACAATAACAATAAGTTTAGTATTGTTTGTTCTTACTTGTTCGATGGGCCTTTCAACACGTATATCCCAAACGCTCGATACCCGCCCTTTTCGTCTTCGATCGCACCCCTGTGTGTATATATATATATATATATACACACACACACACATCCTTCCCACCTGCAAGCAACTTGTATCTGTTGCATCCCCTAAGGCAAGGGAAGAGAGGACAGATGGAAGGAAGGGACAAGGGGACGGAGGAGGATGAAGCACGAGAGGGTGTAGCAGGAGAGGGAGCTAGGAGCAGAAACGCGTGGCAGAACCAGATGGGCAGATCGGGCGGGTAGACCCTCCTGGGCGGGTCGGGAAGGCGGGCCCAAACGGCCAGGTCGAGAAGGCGGGTTGCTGAAGCGTGATTATTGCATGAATCGCAGGGACGTCTCGAGCGATAGCGCGATTCCCACATGAATCGTGAGGAAATCCATAGCGAGAGCGTGATTCCTGAGTGTCGAAGGCGCGGCGTTTGAATACATTGTGAGGAACACGCGAGAGCGCGATTCCTGTGTTCATTGTGAGGACGTCTCGCGCGAACGCCCAATTTGGGAATGAGTTGTGAGGGGGTATCAGACGGGAGCCGATGTTGTTCTTGTAAACCATTGCCAGGGGCGTAGTTTGGTGACGGAAAGTTCTCCCTGATAAAAAGCGGGGTGTGAGCCCCAGGAGTTGGAAAATACAATGGTCACTTGGGGTAAACAATGTTATTATTTCGAAATCAGAATGTAATCCCTTGCTCAGATCTCTCGCCCGAGGGGGTCTTGACAACACCTCTTCCGAATCACATCAGAATCTCCAGCCCGGATGGCTCATCGCCTTCGCAATCGCCCTGCCCGTGCCATGTTTCTACGCATCAGAACACCCGAGTGGCCTAAAACCTTCGGGAGAGGCCACCCAACCTTTGGGAGAGCCCCCAGAGCCACTGGGACAGCTGGAACCCCCTGGAGAGCCCCCTGCACCCTTCAACGAGGCTTCAGAACCCCGGAGGGTAACATGGGGGCCCTTGGGAGACGCTTCAGAGCTTAGCTGGCGGGTTCTGGGGCCTCTTGAAGGAGGCCTCAGGGCATTTTGGGCGAAGGCCTGGGTCCAGGACTTTGGGTTTCTGGTAGAAGAGGAAGGGATGAGGGAGCAGGAGAATAAGTGGAGAAGAGGAAGAGGAGGAGGGAGCAGGAGGAGGAGGAGGAAGGAAGAGGGAAGAGGAGGAGGAGGAGGGGGAGGACGACGACGAGGACGAGGACGAGGACGAGGACGAGGAGGAGGAGGAGGAGGAGGAGGAGGACGAGGACGAGGACGAGGACGAGGAGGAGGTGGAGGAGGAGGAGGAGGAGGAGGAGGACGACGACGACGACGACGACGACGACGACGACGGGGTCGCCGCCGCGGGCTCCGTGGTCGCCCCTGGCACGCGGAGCGCGCCAAAGAGGCGCCAGCGCAGACCTTCGACAGTGCATGCTGCAGCCTTGAGGATCGGCACTATGGACTAGGGAAGCCCACGTCCGTTGGGGCGAATCTCACGTTACATCAGAGGAATTACCGAGCGGGACCACGGTCGCTTGCAAGGGGGAGCCCCTTGCGGCGCCGAGGCGGGAGCGCCACTCTTGAGCAAAAAGTAGAAAACCGGCTTTCTGCGACGAGCAAGAACCGCAATTCCGAGTAGAAAAACAGGAAGCATCGAGCGGGAGAATTGTTGTTGTTTGGGTGCGCAGCGGAACCCCCGAAACGCACGAGCATGAACCGAAATTTCAGAGGAAACGCAACCGGTGCCGAGCGGAGAGCGCCAGGGTGGATGTGGGGTGTCCAACACTAGTAGTTGTTTGCATTTACGAAGGTTCAAGTGGGACTAACGGCTTCAGGGCTTTCGAGAGTCTTGAAACCAAGCGGAGGAAGTATCGAGTGGAATCGTCGTTTTTCCCAACCATCCTGTGATGTTGGGTCTTCGTTTCGAAGAGACGGTGCCCCGCGTTCCCCCTTCCATCCTCCTCGTCCCCTCCTCTCATCATCAGCATCATCATCATCAGCAGCATCATCATCATCGTCATCATCGCCGCCATCATCATCAACATCAGCACCATCAACATCATCACACGTTTCGTTGCCCCAAGGGGAGCTCCACCGAATGTCACCGTGGCGCAGTCCGCGGGCGTCTCCCTCACCCAGTACCGCGCTTCGTGGCCCCATAGGGGCTCCGCCGAAAGCCCCCGTGGCGCAGTCCGCATGCGTCTCCCTCACCCAGTACCGCGCTTCGTGGCCCCATAGAGGCTCCGCCAAAGGTCCCCGTGGCGCAGTCCGCATGCGTCTCCCCCACCCAGTACAGCGTTTCGTGGCCCCATAGAGGCTCCGCCAAAGGTCCCCGTGGCGCAGTCCGCGTGCGTCTCCCTCACCCAGTACAACGCTTCGTGGCCCCATTTGGAGCCCCACAGAAGGTCCCCGTGGCGCCGTCCGCGGGCGTCTTCCCCACCCAGTACAGCGCTTCGTGGTCCCATATGGCGCCCCTCCGAAGGTCCCCGCGGAGCAGTCCGCATGCGTCTCCCTCACCCAGTACAGCGCTTCGTGGCCCCATAGAGGCTCCGCCAAAGGTCCCCGTGGCGCAGTCCGCGTGCGTCTCCCTCACCCAGTACAACGCTTCGTGGCCCCATTTGGAGCCCCACAGAAGGTCCCCGTGGCGCCGTCCGCGGGCGTCTTCCCCACCCAGTACAGCGCTTCGTGGTCCCATATGGCGCCCCTCCGAAGGTCCCCGCGGAGCAGTCCGCATGCGTCTCCCTCACCCAGTACAGCGCTTCGTGGCCCCATAGAGGCTCCGCCAAAGGTCCCCGTGGCGCAGTCCGCGTGCGTCTCCCTCACCCAGTACAACGCTTCGTGGCCCCATTTGGAGCCCCACAGAAGGTCCCCGTGGCGCCGTCCGCGGGCGTCTTCCCCACCCAGTACAGCGCTTCGTGGTCCCATATGGCGCCCCTCCGAAGGTCCCCGTGGAGCAGTCCGCATGCGCCCCCCTCCCCCAGTACAGCGTTTCGTGTGCCCAATTGAGGTTCCGCCGAAGGTCCCCGTGGCGCAGTCCGCGTGCGTCTCCCTCACCCAGTACCGCGCTTCGTGGCCCCATTTGGAGCCCCACCGAGTGTCCCCGCGGCGCAGTCCGCATGCGTCTCCCCCACCCAGCACAGCGCTTCGTGGCCTCATATGGGGCCCCGCCGAAGGTCCCAGTGGCACAGTCCGCATGCGTCCCCGCCATTCATTTCGGCACACCCCTCACACGCTTCGTGGCCCCATGGGAGCTCCGCCAAAGGTCCCAGTGGCACAGCCCGCACGCGCCCCCGCCATTCATTCCGGCCCACCCCTCACACGCTTCGTGGCCCCATTTGGAGCCCCGCCGAAGGTCCCAGTGGCGCAGTCCGCATGCGTCCCCGCCATTCATGTCGGCCCACCCCTCACACGCTTCGTGGCCCCATAGGAGCCCCGCCGAAGGTCCCAGTGGCACAGTCCGCATGCGCCCCCGCCATATATAAATCGGCCCACCCCTCACACGTTTCGTGGCCCCACAGGAGCTCTGCCGACGGCCCCAGTTGCACAGTCCGCATGCGTCCCCGCCACTCATGTCGGCACACCCCTCACACGCTTCGTGGCCCCAGGGGAGCTCCGCCGAAGGTCCCAGTGGCACAGTCTGCATGCGTCCCCGCCATTCTTTCGGCCCGCCCCTCACACGCTTCGTGGCCCCATCTGGAGCTCCGCCAAAGGTCCCAGTGGCACAGTCCGCATGCGTCCCCGCCATTGAGTTCAGCCCACCCCTCACACGTTTCGCGGCCCCATAGGAGCTCCGCCAAAGGCCCCAGTGGCACAGTCCGCATGCGCCCCCGCCATTCATGTCGGCCCACCCCTCACACGCTTCGTGGGCCCATAGGAGCTCCGCCGAAGGTCCCAGTGGCACAGTCCGCATGCGCCCCCGCCACTCATTTTGGCACACCCCTCACACGTTGCGTGGCCCCATAGGGGGCTCCACCGAAGGTCACCACGGCGCAGTCCGCATGCGCTTCCCCCACCCACTACAGCGCTTCGTGGCCCCATAGGAGCCCCGCCAAAGGTCCCCGTGGCGCAGTCCTCATGCGTCTCCCTCACCCAATACACCGCTTCGTGGCCCCATCTGGAGCCCCACCGAAGGCCCCCGTGGCGCAGTCCGCATGCGTCTCGCCCACCCAGTACAGCGTTTTGTGGCCTCGTAGGGGCTCCGCCGAAGGTCCCAGTGGCACAGTCCGCATGCGTCTCCCCCACCCAGCACAGCGTTTCGCGGCCCCTTGTGGAGCCCCACCGAAGGTCTGCGCGGCGCAGTCCGCATGCGTCTCCCTCGCCCAATTTTCGGCCAGACCTGCGGGGCGCGAGCAGTCCGCAGCCAGACCTTCTTTCGGTCCTGTGGACTCTCGCCTTAGGCCGCCGCCTTTCCAGCGCGCTGCCCCCTCGGCCGACATCGCCCAGGCGTGATCCTGGACTGCGGCCGCCACGAAGTGGGGAACGGCAAGAAGAAGGAACGACTGGCGGCTGGAGCTCCACGCGCTGCTCTCGCGCGCCACGCGCCACGAGGACCTCTTGCTCACGCGGGCGC